CTGGGGAATTCTGGGAGTTGAAGTCCACCCATCTTAAAGTTGCTCAGGTTGAGGAACCCTGGAGTAGATGACCCATGCTGGCTGGGGAATTCTGGGAGTTGAAGTCCACCCCTGTTAAAGTTGCTGAGGTTGAGGAGCCCTGGAGTAGATCACACATTGCTTTGTTTTCTTGGCTGTCCACGGTATTCTCAGGAGTCTTTTCCAACGCCAACGTTCAAAGAACCCTTGGAAAAATAAGAAGGAAAGCCTTTCCAAGCCTCCTTATCCTGTTTCTTGAAAAAAAGTTATTTCTTGAATATTTCCAATTTTCCCCACAGAAGAAGAAGAAGAAAAAAAAAAGCGGGGGACGGAATGAAAGACTAAAGCGCGGGAAGAAAGGTCTCCATTTGTGACAGGTGTTGCTAATGTTGGCCAATCACGACGCCGGAAAGATCAAAGGCACGCGGCGCAGAAGTCCTGGGCGTTCTAGGCTGAGGACTGGGTGGGCGCGGAGGCTTTGGCTCCCATAAAAGGGAGGGGCGGTTGCACGGGGATTTCGACTTTTTTGCGCGGTTCGCAGGTCCTCCGAGTATCCTCCGCATCTCTGAACGCGCTGCCGTCCCCTTTGCACTCGCGGTCGGCTGCTTATCCGGACCTTTTGCTTCTGGCTCTAGGTAAACGGGTTTCTCTCTGCTCTTAAACCTGGTTTGCTTAAAGGCTCAGGGTTTTCTCACTGCTTTATGAGTGTGCAATGCGGCATAATTAACAGTAAATTCATTGTAATTTGATGTATTGTTTACATTACTGTGGGAGATGCCAGGGTGTGTGTTAACAGTAAATATTAATAAAAAGGTATTAACTCTTTATTTAAATAGCATTTAATACTTTATTTGGTTTTAAGTATTCAAAACCAAATATTTTTGGTTTTGATATTTTTTTTGTAAACGTTTCATTTTTTGGTTGTGAGGTGCCCGGAGTTTGGTACAAAATGAACGGCTATATAAATGTTTTAAATAAATAAATGACTGCTGTAACATGGGGTCTTTCAAATGTCAAATTCAGATTTTCAAACATCGTTCTTGGCTAGTGAATGGAAAGAACTGAGTTATTTGCTACAGGTCTGTCCTGATGGAGTGTGTATGTGAGAGACAGTCTTCTCCCTTCTTAAATTTTGAACAAGAAGCTTGTGAGGTAGTACAAGAAGTTTCTTAAAGAGGGAGAGACTTAACTGTATTTGAAACCATTCCATCAGATGCATGTCCTCCAATGTGTGGGGTGAGCACATTTAAGCGTATTGGGGCTAATGGGAAGGCATTGTTTGTAAGCCTTTAAAAAAAAAAAAAGTACAGTTTAATTATATTGAGGCTACTAGGAAGAGAAAGATACATGTAGACATTTTATGTATTACTAGATTTACATCCTGCCTTTGTTTTCCCCGCAACAACAACCTTGGGAGGTGGATTGGACTGAGAGAGAACACCTGGCCCAAAGTCATCCAGCTGGCTTTCCTGGCTATGGGAGGACTAGAACTCACAATCTTCTGGTTTGTAGGCCAGCACCTTCACCACTACACCAAATTGGCTCTCATATTGAGCGATATAGATACTATATCAAATGTAGGTCCTCAATGGGTGGAATGAGCACGTAACATCTTAAATTCCCACTGGTAGGAAGACTAAAAACTCATTCTTCAGGCCACTGTTTAAATGAGACTTAACAAATCACTTGATAAACTCTGGTCTAGTTGAAGGTGGCCTGATAAGTTCCTGGTTATCTGGAGTGGGGTTGAGTTTGAGTCTCTTCCAACAGGTTAACTGGCCACAAACTCCTGGCTGTGTTGACTGTGGCAAAGCATTTTATGTGATGTGATGTGATGTTTTGTTTTTTTATTTTATTTTATTTTATTTTATTTTATTTTTATTTATTTTTTATTAAATGTAATTAATATATTTTTTATTGTTTTATTTATTTTTATTTTTATTTTTATTTTTTTTATTTTTTGTTTTATTTTTTTTATTTTGTTTTTATTTGTTATTTTATCTGTTTTTTAAATTTTTAAATTTTTAATTTATTTTATTTCTGTACCCACCCATCTCAACCAAGTGACTCTGGGTGGTGTACAATGATAAAAACAATTCAAACAAGTACAGTGCAGCACAAAATAAATATATATGGCAGCTGAGAAAAATTATCCCATAATTATCAGTATGGCCAAGAAAGGGGACCCTTAACCCATTTGGGCCCAGGCATTGGTTTCTGCTGAGTGCTTCTGATGCAGATATGTCTTGTCTTAACGCATGGGCCGTTTTAAGACTCAGGAAGAATGTTCCTTTAAACCAGTGTTGCTCAACTGTGGCAACTTTAAGGTGGGTGGACTTCAACTCCCAGAATTCTCAGCTGGAGAATTCTGGGAGTTGAAGTCCACCCATCTTAAAGTTGCCAAGGCTGAGAAACACTGCTTTACACCCACCCCCTCCAATTTCTTCTTGGTGGGTCTTGTGCTAATGAGATTTTTCTCCTCTCCTGCTCCTTTAGCTCAATGGCCTAGTAAGAGAGAGAGAGAAAAAAAAAATCAGAAGAACCTCTTAGCACTTTTCCCGACTAACAGCTTATGCCTTTTAGTCAAATTTGTTGTTAGGAAAAGGTGCTAAGAGGCTCCTTCTGATTTTTTGCTGCCATAGGCTAGCACAGTTTGCCTCCCACAGTGTCTCTGGTAAAGGCAACATATGAGGATTCTAAATGCTGCAATGATTCTTGAGTCTTGTTTTATTTCTTTTCTGACTTGGATGAAGAACAGTGACTGATTTAGTAAATTTAAATTCAGTACTGAATTTTGCCTTTTTTTTTTTTTCCCCCCCCTTCCCTTCATGCTCAGGTAATTGTAGGCTTTCCTTCGCATGCCCAATTCTGGCAGGGAGCATTGGAAATCATGATCACGTGACTGCAGGGACTCTGCGATGGCCACAGCTTTGAGAATAAAGCTGGTCTGAATGTCGTGGAAATTTAAATTCAATAGGAGTAAATGGGTCCTGGATTTTCCACACATTCTTTAAGTTGGTTTTTAAGTACCTTGATTTAAAAATGGTTGCAGTATAATGCACTGTTTGGGCTAACGTAAAGATACAGATAAACACAATGAGAATTTTAGTAGTATATAGATAATAGTAATATATTAAATTTATATGCCTCCTGACTTGCAACAACTCTTAAGAAGTCCACGCATCTTAAAGTTGCCAAGTTTGAACACGGGTCTAGTCATATTTCATGGGCTTCAAAACTGATAAGCAGGTCCTATCATGTTTAATATTACCCCTGCTGTTTCTGCAATATGGTATGGGATCCTTGATGCCCACCCCAGAGTACCCTTTAGAGCCCCACTGGCTGTGATGAGCATCACTGGCTTGTTCTGATGTTTGTTGGTGAAGAGACTAGCACTGTATCCCATCTCCATCTCTCAATCTTAATCTAGAATCTATCTCTCAATATTAACAACTAAGTCTTTTTGGTGGGATTGGAAGACAGCAATCCTCCTCATATTTTCTTTTTCTTCCATAGGCTGTCCTTTGTAGGAGCTGTAGAAAGCAGAGCTCTCCCTGACTTCGATACTCAAGGATTATTGCATCTTCTGGGAAGGATAAAAGGGGCCTTCAACTTCTCAGCATTGGCACCATGAGTGAGCATAACACCCTCAAAAAGTTCCGCTTGGAAGTGACATGCTCCATTTGCTTGGAGTATTTCAGTGATCCTGTGATCCTTGAATGTGGGCACAATTTCTGCCACCACTGCCTTGTGAAATACTGGAAGGAGTTTGTAACAAACAACATTTGCCCTCAGTGCAAAGTGGCCACAGAGTCTAAGGGCCTCATAAACAAACCCCTTGAAAAATTTGTTAGGATGCTCCAACAGCTGAACGATGAGCCAGAAAAAAAGGGGGTCTGTGAGAAACATCAGGAGCCTTGGAAATGTTTCTGCAAGAATCACCAAGCCGCCATTTGCATGAAGTGTGCTGAATCCACAGAACATGAAGGTCACAACACCATCTCCCTGGAGGAAGCAGCCCAAGAATTGAAGGTGGGTGGATGGGAATCCTCTGTTTCTAAAATCATGGAATAATAATGGTTTGTTTTGCAAAAAATAAAAATGCGGAAAAAATTTGGGACTGAAAAGAAGGAATACTGTTTGAGGAATGTGATCAAGGGTAGGCAACCTTATTTCTTACCAAGCTGCATGTGGTTCTCGGAGCTCCTTGGACTCCATATCAGTGATTGGAAACCCCCTATGGACTTTTTGCTGAAAAAAGAGAAAAATGAACTTGTGATTTATGGGTTTGAAGATTAG